CCTAATCTAAATTTAACTTAAAATAATAAAAGGTATACAAAATAAATATAAATTAAACGGATTGAAATTTAATAAATTGATTAGGACTTCAAAACCAAGTTAACAAAAAGAAAATTTCAAAAAACTTACACTGAATGATCATATTAAACATTAAATTAATGTTTCCTTCTTGATCTCACTTCTGTCCATTCAGATTTATCGATTGCTGATGTATTATCATCTTCAACCATCGAAACATCATCTTGAGATGACTACAATGGTTATATGAGATAATCTATTGTGATTTAAATGATTTAGTTGTGGGGTACTTACAGATGAGCCCTGATGAGGTGTGTAGGATTGAGCCTTTGAAAGGCTTACTTTACTTAAAGGTAAATTGTTATATTCCACTTCAAATTGAGCTAAATTGCCTTCTTTTAATAAACTTACAAATTTAAATAACACAGTTGCTATTTCTATTAACAAAAAAAAAATGAGATTTACAATGAAAATAGGGATTTCTGTGATTTTTGCTTTTATTTTAATTAATACAATTAAATTTATAGCTAATAGGGCAATATTATTGTTAATGTTATTATTTTTGAGTTTAATAGCATATTCTCATTATTTCTTTACGATGCTGTACATAAAAGAGGTGATTAAATTATGTTAAGGATAAATGAGCTCCAATATTTTTGTGGTCAAATGCTACAATCTATGGATACTATAGAAAAAAGTCAAATGTCAGATTGTTTAATTATTCTAACCTGTCTATTTTAATTTAAGAAAAAACTAGAAATTAATAGGATATGTTTGTAAAAGTTTTATTTCGTAACAGTAATGTTAATGAACTAATTCGTAGAAATATCACAAGTGTACTTTTGTTTACAAAGAAAAATTTTAAGAACAATAATTGGGTAAATAGTGAACCCAAGTCTAGGTATTTTATCATTTTTGGTGCTGGTTTGATCGGTTATACACTGTTCAATCGTCAAAAATTGTTGCCTCAAGTAAAAGCAGCGAGTATACTAGATGGACTGCATGGAAGAAGGTCACAATATAATTTTATAGCAGATGTAGTTGAAAAATCTGCTCCTGCTGTAGTCTACATTGAAATCAAAGACAGCAGGAGACTCGATTTTTTCACAGGTAGACCTTCGACAGTTTCTAATGGATCAGGATTTATTGTAAAAGAAGACGGTTTAATTTTAACAAATGCCCATGTGGTTGCTAGTAGGCCCCATTCTATTGTTGAAGTACGTTTACATAATGGAATGATATATAAAGGTGTTGTTGAAGATATCGATATTCAAAGTGATTTAGCAACAGTTAGAATTAATGCTAAAAGTTTACCTACAATGAAACTGGGCAATTCATCTGAATTGAGGCCAGGTGAATTTGTTGTTGCTATAGGAAGTCCATTGTCTCTTAGCAATACTGTCACTTCAGGTGTGGTAAGTTAAAATGAGAAGATTTTTATTGTCTTTTGGAGGAATTAGAAGTAAAGTAATTCTAAGGATTAAGCATTAAATTTTACAAATATTACCTACATATTTATTATTTAATTATATTTTTTGATCTTTCAACTGATGATAAATGTGTTTAACAATATTGTAAGTAATATAATTCTAAAATAAATTATCAAATTAGATGATATTTAATTACAATAATTGTAAAATATGTAATCAATATTAGAAAATTTCATAAGACTATTCTGAAGCGAATATAAAAATTACCACAAAAGAAAATTGTTTCACGTAGG